CATCAGAGTCAAGTGCACTTAACTCTGATGATAACTTCCGCTTAGGTTGTCGAAAAGTCAGTCACAATTAGCGACAACAGTCCTTCTCAGGACTACACTCACCCGGACGATCAAACTACACTATTACATGTTACCCCCAGGTTCAAACCATTTACTGTACTAAATCACCAGTTATACTCTCCCGCCGATCTGCGGCAACCCCGTTTCTATGTATTTTCGTCCCCAGGGACTCTTCATCAAACGTCCTGAGGACGAGAACCATTGACTGTCGCATCTTAAAGTTCGACAAGCTCAGTATTACAAACATCACAAGCATCACACTACCACGCGTCATTGCAAGGTCCATTTTATGGAAAAAAACATGATTGTCTCATCACGACAACTTCCTGATCGTGAGTTTCAAGGCGCGTTAAAAAAAAGGTAGTTTAAACATATTCGTGCGAACAGAAAGTTTAGGACCGGTGTAAAAGACAGAATACAGATGTGGAAAAAAATTTAAAAGCACGTAAAGACTGATTTGCGAAGGAAAAGTTAAGGGTCGTTGAGGATTCGTAAAGAGAATTAACGACGCGTAAAAGCGAAACCAGTCAAAATACCCCGATAATTCTATTGAAGATGGATGAGCCATAATTAATTCACTTCTTTGAGTATTTCTCCAAATAGAAAGTGGTTAATGATATCCATCCTTTACCAACAATTAATATCCTTTACGCAGTCTTTACGCTTTCTCTGCAATTACGCATCTTTACGGAACGCGGAACTTGTCCGTAAAGAAGAGGCTTTATATTTACGTTTCTTTACGTAAGCCGAGTTAAAAATGCGTAGATTTGCGATTTCATAATGTGGGTAACGCCAATTAGTGGTGATAATTTTAGAATTATCCCACTCAATTGTATGGTTAGTTGGGCATGTGTGCTCCGATAAAGCTGAATTTTCCTTTTTGTAAAAGAAAACCGCTTGTTGATGCTCTTTCAAACGTGTACCAAACTAAAGTTTGGTCTGTCCGATGTATTCGTTGTCACAGTCATTGCTAGGAATTGAATAAATGGCGTCGGCTCGTTGTTCTATTGTGATAGGATCCTTAGGTTTGGCGAAAATATGCCCCAAAGTCTAAAAAGGTTGAGAAAAAAAGGTCAGAAAATCGTGACGAAGGCGGATTGCTTCCTGACGACTATTTACACCTCGTCAGAAAAAAAAAAGGCAGCTAATTTGTGATCATATAAAATAAATATATTATATTATTATGAGGCTTCATTAATCACTTCAGTCAGCCTACGCAAGGTGAGACTGCAGAAACCATGTCAGTTGTTTATTTGTTTATCAATTCAGTTTATTTTCTACGGGAGGCATGGCAATGACCCTAGTATTCCAGAAAAAGGATAATCAACCTCCCTAGGAGGTATAAATACCAGCTTAAGACGACTGATATGCGGTATGAAATGCACTAGTGACCCCCTCGTGAGCCTTTAAGACCTTGCGTTCGGTATTTCTTTCCTTCACAACTGTATCTGCGTTTAATAACCGGAGGGAGCCGGTGCATCGCCTAATGAGTTCTTTACGACTAGCTCCTAATTTACTGCTCGTGACTGTTTTTGCGTTGATCCAAAATTTAGCTTCAACGAGTGCCGCTGTGGTAGACTGCAAGAAGAGCACCGGTAGATGCTTGAAAGAAGGTAAGATTCTCCCAGTAAAAGTTGGTGATTGTTTCTAGTGAGTATAGGCAACGCTTGAGGAAAACAGATGCGACATTGGAGCGGCGTGCTGCGTTCTTTGAAGAAGCTAGAGAATCAAGGTCGCAAATTTTATATTGCAAAAGTTTGGTTTGAAACGCACAAACCGTAATTTTCGGTATTGTATCAATCTCGTTTAATTTCTTGTTAAAATCCCCTTTGCCATATGCAAGAGAAAAGAGATAAATCGTATTTCGTAATTTCAATGCATTGGAGTGAGTTTGTTCTTTATACTTTGCAGAACTTTAGAGTCATCCTGGTAAGCTAAGCCGTGGGCATTTTAAGCGCCCTTCGATGTCTTGATGGGGGAGGGGAGGGGAGGATTGGGAGTGGCGGTGTTCTTCAGTTGCGGTATTTTGGCAAAGAAAATCGTAGATTGGGGAATCGAGATGGACTTTTACGTCCTGCAATGTTCGTTACTTGTGTTGTCCGTAAAGCTCTGGTGATAGCGAACCAAACTTTATTTCTTCTTTACTGTTCCGTGTTCAGTGGACTTTGTAATCCATTCGTATAACCTTCCCGTTATTTTCCGGACATAATGAGGCTTTTCAAAGCGGAAAATGCCTTGATTTTAAGGCAAATTTGAAACACGCAAGACCCAAAATCAGCATTACGACGAGAAACGTCAGAAATGTCGATTTTTGTGATAAGGTGACAGACAGTGGAGAACCATAGGATCATATCACATATTCAAATGAGAGAGACCAGAGCGTGAAAGTAGCACAGTATGTGAAAAGGAGGGAGAGGAAGTTTATCAAAAGGTGACATTGTGGGATACGGCACAATCGTTACTCTCATTCCGACACTGCCTTAGCCTGAAATATCAAATTGAACTAGGAGCCCATTATAATGGATTCTTTTTGGGAACTCTTAATGGGAACTTTTTTTACTTAACAAACATTCAATATTTAAACAACCCACATAAGCCATCTTTACCTCAACAGCTTATTATAAGAATTGCGCCGAGCTGTACAACTGCGGCCAAACGATCAGCGGTGTTTACACAATCGACCCTGATGATAAAGGTGCCTTCAATGTGTATTGTGACCAAACCACAGACGGAGGAGGGTGGACAGTGTTTCAGAGGAGACTGGATGGTTGCATGGATTTTAACCTGGGTTGGGCAGACTACAAAAAAGGCTTCGGTGATTTCCTTAATGGAGAGTTTTGGCTCGGACTAGAGAAGATCCATCGCCTGACGCAAAACGAGAAAGAAAACAGGCTTCGAGTAGATATGGGAGTAACTAAACGCAAAACTGTCTACGCTGAATATTTGTGGTTTGGGATCGGAGACAAGAAAGACAAGTATCGGCTGAAACTCGGAAACAAATCAGGTGAGTCAATCTGCTTTCTTTCGGTAATCATTATCTAGAACAGCACGAAGGCGAGGATGAGAAAAGCATCAAATGTATAATGTAGGTGACGGTTGTATTAAAAATTAATATTTACAGTAATGTGTGCGTGTTTCTCCTAAGAACTGATTTCTATCACACTTGCAATTTGTATCCGGGTAAACCTTATTTATGGAAGCCGAGGGCTGAGGGAGATTTCACAGACTCCTGCGTGGTTTGACAATTCATGATATGATGCGAGAACAGAGTTCAGTAATTGTTTTATTACAGGCTATTTTTATAAAAATCTAAAAGATAGAGTAAAAAATTCTTTTATGAAAAGGAGGCTGGACTCCAAACTCCGTAAAAAAATTTATATGGAGCCTGTTAAATTGACCACGACATTTATCTTGAATAAATTATCTGAAACTTTCACATTTCAAAACAAAGGGGTAACGAACTTAGGTGATAGAAAGTTAAGCTTGAACTTGAATTCCGAAAAGCAACAAAAAAAGATACGTGAAAGAATCCACGTCAGTATCAAGGTTAAGGTTAGAATTCTTTGATGCGATTGGCTAATTTGTGAAAATCACGCGCTACGTGTGAACACAAAATGGAGTACCAAGGGGGAGATGGAGAAAAAAAAATTTGATTTGAAATTTAAAACGTAAGGGAATTTCACTTCTCTCTGAGTTTGAAAAAGTTTGAGAACGCTACACGCTTAAGGAGCTTGGAAACCAGGCAAACTTTGAGCTGGAGTTGATAAATGCAATATATGCTGCAGATATCGGGTTATCCTGTCAACTTCACACGATTTTGTATATGGACTGAATTCTCTCTGCCAATCAGAGTTTCCAATATAAGTCAAATTTAAAATTAAGAGTATCGTCATCATTATCATCATCATCATCATTATCATTATACTTTATGACTATAATTGTTATAATTATTGGTGTTTTATCATTTCTATTAGAATGTGCGACTGTCAAAGATTCTCTCAGTGATCATAAAGGCTCCCCGTTTCGTACCCGGGACAAAGTTTACAAGCATTGTACCCATAAGATGTTTGGAGGCTGGTGGTACATCAACAATACTGACTGTGCTGTTTCGTCAAATCTCAATGGTGCTCATCATTGTAAAAAGAGAAAAAGGAACATGAACAAGACCTTGGGCAAGCGAAAGATTCACTGGGGTATGTTATCTGACACTGACGCAAGTCACACCAGTCCACTAACATCGGAAATGAAAATAAAACCTGTGGATTTACCCTTTAAGTGTTAAAACACTTTATTGAACACATGTAATCGTTCACTTGGCACCTAGTCGATTTCTTGATTAATAAAATACGTTATTTCAGTCAAACTTGTTAATGAAGAATTTGGTTTAGTATTTGTTTCTCTAAACGTAATTTTGGAAGAATTTACAGAAATGACGGATAATATCATTTCTGTGATAATTAAGTTTCAAATCTTAAACAACTTTTCCCACCCTCTAGGTGCCTCTTCAATTTTCACCACTTTTAGAAAGGAGTTAATTTATTTTGCAACTAAATAATACATGATAACAAAAGGTGACGATGTACCACAGGGGAGTGAATTTATAGTTTGTGAGCCAGTAATGAAATTTTAATGTTCCCCTGATGCATTTCAGTTCCGCTTATTCGAAGCGCTGGGCGCTCATTAACTCTCTCTAGGCGTTTATTCGGGGCAGCTGCTTACAAATGATACCATTCTTGCGAAGAGAAAAATCATGATTTAGTAAAAAGTTTAAATAAAAAAGTGTTTAAAAGAAAATAAAAGGAGGCCGAAGAAAGCAGAAGACTACACAGATGGTGCGACGTGGACGCAAACCGTAATCACCAGCGACTTCAGCGATGCGATGACACCTTAGAAACTTCCTATCAATCAATCAATCGTTTCCTTGGAGGAATTAAAAAAAATGGTTAAACTTTAATCATCTCACCCTTCTGAAATTGTACTTACCAACATTTAATATTATTATCTTTAATATTTGATCCAAGAACTGATCTACCCTAGGTGATAAAAACAGATGGAAAGAAGGAAGAACCGAGAAATTTTTTTCTCAAATGAGTTTGCTACATTTTTACAGGATCGTCATTACTAAACCTTATCTCAAGCTCTAACTAAAGGTTTTTCCTCAAAAACGTGAAAAAAGGCGAAAATTTAAATTAGTCCCACCTTCTGAAAAGCCTTTTACTCCTGAGTTTACATTTTAACAGGGAGAATTTTTATCTTGCCCGAACTCTTGATCCAACCTCTCTCTGTGTTTAGATTTAGTTAAATCATTTCCAAAGCCGAGTTCCCTACACGTTTTTTTGTGAACCTCTCTGAAAAATATTGATTGGATGATCCGTATAGTTGAGTACAACATAAATGCGTTGAAGATGCGTTGGCGATCGATGTACGAAGGCTTATAACTCATATTTGTGATTACATCAGAAGTCATGCAAAGGTCTTGTCCACCAGATAATACCAAAATGTTTTGAAAAAGTACTACAAGCTGACTTAAAAGTTTGTTAGAAGGTTCACCGATCATCCGCCATTAGTTGGCAATCTTCGCTCTTTGCTGATTTCTGAGACGATTGTTCCAGCTTTGTGCTTTTTTCAGATCCTCTTTTTGTTCTGCCATGAGCTTCTCCAGAAAAGCATACTCCACCTCCATTGTCTGATAACTCCAACTTAAGTCCTCCAGCCGCTGGACAATATCGACGTACCAGTGGTTCTTTAGAGAGCTGTCACGGCGCGAGTTCAGGGTTGGAAACTCCGGTGGAGGGAGAACCATATTCTCGTTGTTTACAAATTGATGTGTTGAATTTACGCCATCGGTGGCCATGGTTTCCTATGAAGTAAGAAATTCGTAATAAGGCGACTTTTGCGAAGATTCTTGTTTGTCAATTTATGGTTTCTGTCAGTCAACTGACCAGCAAGATAGTCAATCAGTCAGTAAGGTAGTCAGTTACTCTGTCAGTTAGTCAATCAGTCAGTCATTCTACACGCGTTTCCCATGCACGCGTCATAGCAGTGTTTATTACGCATAAGGATTTTACCTCACTGTGACTGCAGCTTACATCTGTAATGAAAGTGTTCGCAAATAACATATTGAATATCACTTAGTTATCCTGCAAAATTTTGGTAAAAGTTTCATGTGCATCAATATGATCCACCCAAAGAGAGAATTGTCATGGATTATTGAAGCTTTTGTGAAGCGTTTCGTAATTCATGGCCATAACTTTTAACAAGAACTTGCCAACACGAAAACGTGTATTTATGTTGATTTGTTTGAGCCGATAACATACATAATCAAAAGATAATTGCCTCTAATTTAGACAGAAAACCACAAAAAAGACTGTGCTAATGAAGGCAATTAATGTACCGTTGTTTAACATCAACAAGTCAAAAAGTTTTAAAACAAATCACATCATAAGTACCTTTTAAGCGGAGTAAAAATCTAAGTACGTTCTTCTTCATTAGAGAGAGTGTGAAGAAGTAGTTGAGTATCTGTACTCAGTTCACGAAGTCTTATTTACAGTGTACGTGGGCAGAACGCGTTAGCTGAGGTTCTTAACATTCTCGAGATTTTATATCGCGCCGTTCTTTTGTGTGAATTGTTCTGTGAGTGAGTCAATTCTTTGTTTTAAAAGCGTCTCTTTCAAAATGTTTTCTTTCTTTTCGCAGTTGGCTTCCATTTGTGAGAGTGTACGTATGTCGACTCCTGCGGGTCTCAAACGACTGGACCTCCTTGAAGAGCAAAATTTGGAGCCTTGATTTAAATAAGATAAGAAAGGTGGTAAATTTTGAGCATAGTCGTTGTTGAGATGCTTTTGCTTTTTGTCAGATGCGTTGGGATTCAGGTTTTCCTGTCCCACGCTCGACAAAAAAAAAAAACAAACAAACAAAACCGAAGAAAATATTTATTAAATTTTGACCTAGTTTTTATGGTTTGACTTCCAACAGGACTTAGGCCTTATAATCGGAGTAACACACAGCTATCGTGTAATCATTTCAGTATCCACTTTCCAAAATAAATCGTAGTCTGTTAAAGCCAGTCATTTAGGTTTTTTAGTTTTTTTAGCGCTTTGGATCGTTTTCAGCCGAATACTGCTTTCGAAACTTTGTTCTCATATCTGGCTTAAAATGTCTACACTCGATTACAAAAACGTCGACACCTAAATAGCGTGCTCCATAAACAATCAGACAAATGGGCTTCATGAGAAATACTCGCACAGTTACATAACAATTTAGCAGTTCTTTTTACATTATTCATGAAAATCTTTGTTTATAATAACTCTTTTCTTTACCACGTGCAACCACTTGTGGTTCTTACCCACATAAGTACTCAAAAAGCCTTTGTGTCCCACCGTTCATTGCTAACGGTTTTTGGGAGTCAATTTTTTTACAATCAGATGTATGTAATTTTTTTGAAATTCGATGGACCTCTGGATTTACACTATTTAACCTTGCTTTCTATTCTCTGTGAATCCGGTTACATGTATGATAACGAATCAACAGGGCTACTTACGTAGAAAGATTTTCTTCGAACTTCTCGGCTTTCCCTTTTCGAAAACAAAGTCTCATTTTGAAATCCACTGATGTTTTGCTGTTCACCTCGCGGACTCACGGAGTCATGCTTCTCCGGCGTCGAGGTCCTGGGCGTACCCTCCACGGGCTTTTTAGTCACCTGGCTCCATACTGACGAAGAAAAGGTTTCTTCGGAAGTATTTTTCTCTGGGGTGGTGATAGACGTGCTGCTTGCTTTCTGTTGAGGACTTTTTTGTGAGCCGGGCATCTGTCAATCAAACAGAAAACATGCAATTAGCATGTTACTTACTGCGCTACAGATTTAGATTTTGTGATTCTCGCAAAGCTGCTTTAAAAACAAGAAAAATCGAGGAGAACATTTCTCCTTTACTCTTGTAGTTTTACCAGATACTGAATTGATCTATTTCTTTATTTTCAAAACTTCCCATTATTCTTCTGCGAACTCATAATTCTTCTGCAATGATGTCTAAATTCAGTCGGAAACTAGCTTTTCTTGTAAATCCGTGAGCGTTTATTACTGGATCTTCAAACTCTCAACCGTTTGGCTGTAACGTAAGATTTTTGCCGCAACTTACAAATCACTAGAAAAATCATAACTAATGAGCCAACAATTTAACTGTGCAGGCCAACTTTATATTAAAATTTACTTTTTTTTTATCTAATATATCTTTAACCATAGAGTTTTGGGGCAAAATCAGTACAAGGTTATCGAGAAATAATTATCAAGCCTTTCTGAATTTGCATTTTAATGTACCAGTCAGGGATATTCCCGCCCAAAACAATATTGAATTTGAACTAATCTGTCGACTGAGATCCTCTTCGGGTATCAATGTTGTCATCGATATTTCTAGTTTAGTTTGGGCTTCTCATTTTAAGAACAATTATTTTTTTAACATATCCCGTACAGTATAAAAAATTTTCCTTTCATTTTTCACTGACTTCTCTTCCACATGTTTGAGAGCAAATCTTCCAACAATAGAGAAATCTCATTTGACTTTTTTTTTTTTTCAAGTAATGCAGGTGCACCTTATTGTCATTCTTTTCAACAAGTATGTTCCTGCAGCGAAGACGTCGAGATGAATTTGTCGAAATTAACATAAATATTCAAAATGAAAAAAATAAAAATAAAACTTGGCGAATCGGGAAGTTTTGGTTGAGTTTTTTGATTTAGTAGCAGTTTGATTTGGTACATGCTTTGTTTTTGCTTTTCACAACCAAAAAATTATGAACAAATATTCCTTAGCATAAACAATTTGGACGTTTCTGGGATAATGGATTGAGTAAACATTACAAAAAAACTACCTCCAAACAAAAATTTTGTACAAACTGGCTGATGCATTACCAGTTCTGTTGTAAATCAGATCGAAGATTTTTATTCTAATTTTCCTCAAGCCTTTTGGTTAAGGAAAATATACTAGCTTTCTTTTGTCTGTTTTTTTAGCTCAAGCGAAATGTCACGGGAAAATCAAAATAGCTACGGTTCAAATTATCATGTTCCCTACCTTACTTGGATTTGTTTCTCGGCTCCTGTTCGTAGAAAGATGAATCTACAAGGCAACAAAAACTAAAAAATCAAATAAACTTCGTTATATCTTCAAAAACTTAGCACAAATAGGGATCTGTTCCAAGAAGATGCTGCGCGTTTAAATGACTGTTGTGAACAACTACTGTTATATTCAACCTACCGTCACTTCTGAGACATATTTAACCTGTTCTTCAGGAACAGATTTTAGCGGCAATCCCACTGATCTAACTCGAGGAGTTTTAGATTTTGGTGTGACATACTTCGAGCGGTACATGTTCAGTTAGGGAAAAATTGATCGAGGTTGTATTTAGATTTTGTCGGCGCACTCTATCTTACAGCTGTTTCCGCGTGGTTTTGTGGACGTAAATTAATTCATATTATGAATTGTTAATCAACAAAATACCCGCTGAAACAGAATTTTTAGGACTCAACCTCCATTAGGTAGATCATGATACCCGCGAGAATTGATAAAATTTATAGTTTCGAATTCAAGGGCCTTGGATATTTCAAACTTGCAAAATCAAGTGTATGTCATCATGACAAGTATATCATTTTTCTGCTAAGAAAGGGATTTATTCTAATCTTTGAGTTTGGTTTTCTATTTTGACTGCTCTAATCTTCTTTGTCTCCATGGTTACCAACAGGTAGCAGGATTTCGATGTCCATTGACAAATATACGTGCATATTTTCGCACCAAAAGGAGGCTTGTGCTTATTTCTGAAAGATGCGAAAGTTGGAAATACAAGAAAAATCGTGATTGATATGCTAGGCAATGAGAACAATACTCTAACAATCCAATGAAAGAAAGCAAAGGATGCAATCAGGCCTTTTTTCAGAAATTCAATTAATTTTGTTTATAACTTTCTGGTCTTTTAAGAGGCCAAGGATGTCTTTTTCCCCTCACTGCTTTTATGACAAGTCTAAAATGTGATTTTTGGTCAGTATTTTGGTGTATTTTATTTTGTGTCATCACTTCAGGCGGTGAGGTCTTGGAAAAGCAATAGGGAAATATAACAAAAAAAACGGGATCGGACGTTGCTATGTACTTCTATTCAGATCCTTGGTAACCTAATGATCAAGCAAATGTGGTAGGGTTGACATTTGGTCATGAAAGCTTGCACTTGGCAACAATTTACAAAATAATAGCAATGACGATAATAATAATAATAATAATAATAATAATAATCATTATAAAATTAAAAAGAGAAAGGTCTAATTGGAAGGTCATCTCTTTTACTTTTTAGAAAACAGTTGAAGAAAATGGCCTCGATAAGTTGAAACGATGCCACAAGTTACTTGTCACAAGAGTGCATAAGAAAAAACCGTTCGCCAATAAACGGGCTTTTAATTACTTCAAGTAGTTTAAAATTTGGAAAATATCTCGTCATTCTGTGATGCACGCCATATTGTTTCTTTTATCTTACACATCTCACATAACTGATAATAGTTGCGGCTTAAAAATTGTTTGCAGTGTATTTTTAGATTGTGAGACCTTTCCTACAAATATTGTTGTGAAGTATTCTGCTCGTTACAAACAAGGAACGATCGCTGAACAAAGCTAAACTAATTGTTCTTTTTGCACCATCGATGGTCCGGTTTCCGAAAAACTAGTGCGCTCAATTTTTAAAGAACATATGATATGTTTTAACAAAGGTTTGTTGTAATAACTTTATATCATGGCTAACGAACCTCATTTTCAAATTGTTCATCGCTAGTAGCTGTGACGTCGATATCCACAGCAACACTGGCCTGAGAAGTGTTGTCTTCAAATTCAGTTTGTTGAACCATAGTTATCACAGATAATGGCTGATCTGGAACTCTGGTTGAAAGGGAAGATGCCTTTTCTTAGCTCTCAAATAAAGGTCAGGTATTTTGCAAAACATTACCGACGCCAACGGACTACAGCGTGAAATCCAATCATATTGTGCAAGCAGACAATAGCTTTGCATGTTCAGTCGTTGCCAATTGTTTGGATATCCCTTGAGAGGCTAAGCTGCTTTTGTTTTCCTCAATCGAATTTTTAACGCCCAAGCTGTCGAAAGGTGAAGACGTTGAAGCTCTGAATTTCCAAACAAAAGATAACAAAAGATGATGTCAACGTAGTATTACGAAAGGACATTTTTTCAACGTTCTTTCACAATTCAAAGCATTATTTGAGTCGTGTTTGTCGTGTTGTTGGAATTTAATGATTCGTATTTTGCCATCTCGTCCAGCAAAGGCCAACTCTTTTGCGAAATGACAGAGTTCGGATTTTCACGTTTATGTAATTTGGGTGTTTTTTTTTCGCTCAAGGAGTATCACGATTACATATTGAAGCCCGTGTCTACCCTACCCAGTGTTACCTAAGGAACAGGAAGTAGGCTGCAAGGGAGGTGTTGCTAACCATTTATGTCTCTGTGATAAGCTGGATCCTACACGCATTTTGATTGATCCTTGCCACAGGAAGAAATTATTTCTGTAACCTCGTAATATATATTTTTTTGGTTGTCTATTTTCGCTTGCAAGCGAATAAATTTATACTCTCATCATCTTGCTGCAATATCAGCAAGTAAATGATATTTCGGATGAAACCGTTTTTATCGAGCAGCTGAACACTCATCAGCTTAATAATCAGTTAGTTATAAGCTTATATTTCACAATTATATATTTTCCATATATTTTTTAATCTCCAATTTTTATAGTTTCTTAAAGCTAAGTAAAGCTGCAAACATTAGAAATTTATCTTGAGGTCATAAAATTTGTAGTAGTTGCAGCTTAACCATGTTGGGAGTTCAAATTGCTATTGGCCAGTTTCAAATTTTTCTTTTGTTCTTTCCTGTTTCTTACAGCGAAAACTGCTGTTCTTTAAATGGAGAATTCTTACCATAGTTAGGCCTAACCATGATAAGAAATCTCCATTTTACTACCTCAAGATAAAATAAGAATCTGAAACAAAAGGAATGGCAAAATTACAGATAGAATGCATAATTTTTCGCGTGACGCGACAGCGTACTTACAGTTTAGACAATCAGAACCATTGCTTGGAAACGTGATAAAGCGATTCATTGTTTTAAGACGACGAAAATACAATTAAGGGGCTTTTAAAAAAAAACTATAAAAACTATTTAGTTAAAAGCTACATAGTTATAAATATTTTATAGCGAAAACTGCTGTACTTTAAATGGAGAATTCTTACCATGGTTACGCGTGACCATGGTAAGAATTCTCCATTTTGCTACCTCAAGATAAAATAAGAATCTGAGACAAAAGGAATGACAAAATACGGATAAAATGCATCATTCATTGGTAGGAAACGTGATAAAGTGATACATTTTTTTACGGCGTAAACCAGCTGCTGTAACACCAACCATCTTGGGCTTTACTAAACTATTTCTCGTCACGTTAAACCATTTGACTTTACGGTGAGTACATTGATGCGATACTATACCATTGCGGTATTATTATTAACCATTTGCCGATAACTTAAGGCATTTCACACTACTCTTAACCGTTTCTGCCAAGTCATTGAACCAAAGTACGGTTAGCTGAACCGTTTGTCATTCGACACAGAATCATTTCAGTTAACACTTGACCAATCGTGTTTTTATTGAATCAGTTCAACAAGGGTGGCTGCACAGTTTCTGAATTGTATAAACCATTTTTGTTTGAATATTTAATTTCACCAAAGGCGACTTGTCCATTTGTATTTTAAATAAATCTCTCGAGGTAAGATAAACCGTGCACCAAAAGACAATTAGACCATTTCCCTTTATTACAGACCATTTATTATGCCTGTATTTTTTGCGGTGACGGCCGTCCCTACTAGAAGTAAGGATGTTTCAACCTTTTTGTTTTAACCATATCATAACTGATTTATCGTTCATATATGTATATACTGAAATAACTGCAGAGCACGATTAACGAACTTTCGAGCAATCGAGCACATGTTAACGAGAATATGAGCATGCGAGCAGTTGCAAAAATTTTGCGAGTACGAGCAAGCGAGCAAGCGAGCACTTGTGTAATTTTTGCGAGCAATTCGAGCAAAGGCCAAATTTTGCGAGCACATTTAAATTGAATGGGACTATTCGATACCCCTAACAGTATTCCCACGTACAAAATTTACCAGCCTTTCTTTTTGAATTTAGTAAGAAGATCAAGCGGTCTTGTTTCTTCTTTTAAGTAGCAAAAACAGCTGTGTGAATATTAAATAAAGAACTTGAAATTCAAGTTCTTCATTTTTTTATTTTTATTTAAAGGAGAATCTTGACCGGAAGCAAGTGGTTTATTAATTACTGAAATTTTTAAAAGTGTTTCACAGAGGGTGACTCGTACGGCTAACAGTAAAACATCTGGCCATTTTACGGCAAACGGTCAACCCAAAATGACACAAAATAACACACTTTGTAAAGAAAAAAAAGCACGGTTTGCTTTTTTAACGACTGACGGTTAAGATTTGTCAATTTTTACGCCTCATTGCTAATTTTTTTCTTTGGCCGTTTTTCGGCCAATAGTTACGTTAACTTCATCGAGACCCGCTGTCGAGGTGAGCCTTTATTTATGCGGATTTTATATGTAGACACTTCATGCATACCCAATGAATGTATAGAAGTGATCCCCAGCACTACAGAATAATTCAAAATTCCATTTCTTATTTTTCAGAATTACTTCCTTTTCTTTAAAGAATAGAAAAGCAACGAGATAAAGGAATAGATTTTAAGAGTAAATGTCAATAAAATCACAGATTATCGGAAAAGTGGCGGACATGGCCAAAAATCGATTTGGTTCATTTTTTGCCTGTGGGTAGCCTTATCTAGTAAACAAACGGCCATGGGGTTAGATTTTTGAAATATGCATTTTAACGGAAATAATTTGTTTTAACATTTCCGAGGGTAAATAGCTCAAATTTCACCAAGCGCGATCCTGAAATTATGCACTTTTTGGGCTCTTGTCATGCTAACAAAAATGTAACGGAAGGACTTTTCTAGTTATAGAGATATTGAGTTCGACTTGCATTATCGAGACAAAGTGATAGTTTTTGTGTCATGTCATTCTTGGAGGAGCTGCGTCCCTATTAAGAAACGACATCTTCGGCCTTTTGAAACTAAGGCAAAGGTGGCTTAGAATAGCTTGGCAAAAATACATGTGGTAGTGTCTCAAAGTTTACAAAAACACTACCAAGAAGCCTTGAAAGATAGTTCTTTACGATTTGGGTTTTATTTCTTTGGGACCTTTGACTATCAAAAGATGACCACCAGCCGAATTCGGTTAAATTGTTATGACGCCATAATGAGATGCATAGTAACAAAATTAAACGCGTTGGACACATATAACTGTTTTGGTCAGTAATATCTTCACTGGCTGTGAAAATGACTAGAAAAATATTAAAATTTCCATAACTACCCTTGATTTTTATATATGGAGACAGGAGAAACAATTTTCGACTTTTGCTACCCTGAGAATCACGCCATAATTATGCATAATTCTACACACATCAGGTTAAACTGTTGAATTGCACTCAACAGGTTAAATTTGGCACAAAGCCGTTAGTTTACGTTTACTTCTCATTCGGTGAATATGGATTCGAGCATTTGCATCCCTTCTGCGCCTTCTGCACTCGCCAGTTTCGAATATTCTGAAAATCGTCCAACACAAAGATAGGAAGGTTTCACAAGCAGTGGTGAGCTCGAGTGACTGAAATCCGATATGTAGGACTCTGCTGTCACGCAACGCCTTCTTGTAAATAATACACGCATTGCTTTTAAAATCAGCGGGTCAGTTATTCGTAAAACGTTCAGTTACTTGGAAGAGCAGGTACACTCCTGGATTAATTGTGTGAGTCGTGCGATGAATGGCTTTTTCCTCTTCTGAGGTGAAATGTCAGATATATCCAGCCCAAGGTCGACGCACATGTCTCTTAGCCTATCTGCTCTTAAAGTTGTGAGTGTACGTTTTTGTACAAGTTCGCAGATGTTAAGATCGAAAGATACAATCGGATGCTGAATAGCCACATCTCTCATCACATTTGCACTCCCTGCAGATAGAAGATAGAGTTTCCAGCTCTGGAATTTCCTTTTTCAGGGTAGCGAGGCAGTCAAGCATTATCGAAGCCACAGTCACGCTGTTTTGGGCGCAGCTTTGAAATACGTGAACAAGTGTCTGCGATTCAAAGTGCTCAGAATCCTCTGACCGTCTTATGGCAACGCTAATGTGCCATGGCAATCTTCGCTTCGCAAACCAATCTGACTGTGCCTCTCGATATTTTCGGGGCATATATTTCGTTGCCCAGTCCTGGACTAACAGCACCGATCGGCTGTCGAGTTTGGCTTAAACTGAATGCTTCGCCTCAGCTTGGTGGACTGAACATAGCTGATGGGCTTTCCAGCTAATAATGTCATCCCTTGCCTGTTTAATGGTATGCAGTATGTCAGGTTGATCTTCTGCTGACGAGAGCGCACTTGAACACTCATCTTCTATAGTTTGCAATACTTCCTATAAGTCATAACAAACTGTTGTTTCATCAATTAAGCATAAAGAAGACTTGGAGAGAAAGAAAGAGGTAGCCGTGAATCATAGTAAGAAGTTTAATACATCACTTCTGCAAGGGCAGCGCATGATTATAAAATATGCATCCACCTCGTTGCGCCCTCTAGGCACTGCTTCGACAGTCAACAAGCTTGTCTACGAGTTTTTCTACAGCATCAAATGCTTCCACTCCTGATGCTGAAAAGTTATCAAGTCCTTGCAGAGACTTGCGAACAGATGAAGAACACACGGCCAAAACTCTCTGTAGAGTTCTCATACTCATAAGCTCAAAGTTGGTTTCACAGCAGTATTGTTGATACTGCTGGACGATGCGCTCTGGTATCATTGTTCTGATAACATTGGGTGTGAAGGAAGGAACATCTTGAATAACGCGTGGACTCGTTATAAAAGAAACAAAATGTTCTAATTTTACAGGTTCAATTCTCATTCTCCTTTTCTCCTGGTTCGGAAGAGTAGCAGCTCTTCCATGTATCATCCTGTGGCGTCGGGCAATGCTGTAGCGATAGCTAGTAACGGTTTGAATAAACTCCCTCATCTCCTTAAGGGATGACTTGTCTGCCATCAAAGAGAATATTTGCCGTCTGGTGCTGCAATGTTGCGCGTTCAAGTAGCTTTCAGCAAATGCATTAAGAAGCTCCGTCTCTTTTTCACTTATGCCTTTGACCACAACCTGACTCTCGCTGCATACAGCGTGACGATCACAAAGCTCCGTCCACAGTCCTTGCGAATTTTCTTGTACCAGGACATCCAGCATTGCAGAAATACATTGTTGAGCTTTCCGTAGGTATATGCGTTTAGTACGCTCGTGCGCTGTATTCCACGGTACTGATAACGTGTGACGTACTGGAATGACGTCTCGAAGGTGTAAGAAGCGATTTAGCTGCACCTGGGACTCGTTGTCTAGACTGGAGCCTTCATCACTCTCCTCGGAATCTTCTTGCGGAACAAATAGGTTCTACCGTATGGATTTGGAACCTTCTGGCAATGCTTCATCACCAAAAGTGACAGCACAAGTGGCAGGAATATCAGAGTCACTCCCTTGTTCATCAACCTGACGAAAAAGTGAACACATTGCTTTAGATGGCTTCAAAATGAGATCAACCGTATACACGCGCGGGGTGTCGTGTATGAAAGCGCAAGTCGTAGGCAAGGCGGAAGTTAATAGTCGATAATTATTTTTACCTTATAATATAATTGACTGATAACCTATCCTGATATCTTCATCCAGTTACTTCTCAGTATTATTTTCTATTTGGAGCATTTCGAAAAAAATGTTGAGCAGCCATATAATAATTTAAAACCTTTATTAGTTGGATATATCCTGGAGTGTGATTTGCTATCTGGGCACGCCTATCCAATTCCTGTGCCATGTATGGTTTTGCCTAGTCGTTGACGGGCAGCAATGGCGGCGTTTGAGCATGTGCATGCAAGTTAGCCTGGACACTCCCCTCTCCCACCTGGGTTGAATCCCTAAGCATGCAAAGGGTGGAGAAGGGAGAATTCAGAGAATGCGTTAAGGTTTTCCACTTTTATTAATTATATTAGATAGAAATTCTTCATGAACACTTTGAATAATCACACCAAGGTTAGACCACTTAGACCTTCTGTGATGTTTTCCACACCTCCTCCCATCCAAAGTTTTCGTTCATGATGGCAATATATTTGTTTAGATTTTATATGTGAGGCAGAATGAATTGTTTGTTGATCTCGTTACGTGACAGATTATCATATGTCACGCAGAGTGACAGGAACCTATGAAAAATTAATTAAAATACGGCAAATCCCTAACGTTACCTGCCGTTTTGTACGGGACCCTTTTTGTGTGGGACGTCAAAAAAAGCCAAAATTAAGATCAAAGTAGACTAAACGTAACTGGGTTGCGACAAGTTGTAGAAAATGACAACAACAAGTAACTTTATTTTACTCATCCCGGCTCAGTGGCTTCAATGAGTTAGCCGGTCGGCCCCTATACACCAAATTGCAAATGACAGTATTTCAAAAATATCTTCCAAACGGAATAACAAGGGCTTATAAAAGATTTCTAAGGTAAGGAATTATTGATGTCAAAGGAAACATAAAAAGCTTAGTGCGGCTGCGACTCAAACAATGCTTTGCTTGTGTCATTGCAACGTTGATTTTGTTCATTTGAATATGGCGCCATTTACAATTTTTGGCGAAGTTTGGTTGCTTGGTATATCAAAACAGCAGAAGATATCAGAAAAATGAAACGATTAATTTGAAGACCCACTTTATAAGCCCTCGTGATAGTATTGCTGGAGATTTTGAGAAACTACCACATGCATTTTTGCCATATTAGGCCGGGTTTGGCATGAATTAAAAATGGCGAACACGTCCACTAGTAATTAACCCGTGGTTTCGTCAGGAAGGACGCGATACAAAAAATATCACTATATATCTTGGTAATGGAAGGCCACATGTATATATTTATAGCTAGAGAAGTCCTGCTGTTGCATTTTAGTTCATGCAGGGACGGCCTGAAAACTGCATAATTCAGAGCTTGCACGCACACATTTTCGATCATGCAATTAGTAACGGTTTATTTCCGTTAAAATGAATATTTACACAAACTAACCTCACTTCACTTTAAGTAGTACCTATAGCTACCTGTAGACAAAAAAACGAAACGAAACGATTTTTTGACCATGTCCGCGATTTTCTTATTTGTCTTTGATTTTGAGAGAATTTCAAACGCGAAGTGTTCCTAAGGAGGATGTTGTTTTAAATATATGGTTTAAATATAGTCTACGTAATTATAGTCCAGATGAATGATTTAGTGAAGCCGAAGTTTCCGGCCTTTGTCGATTATTCAGTCAGGTGATGCATCATTTACCACATTGATTAAAATTAGATGTTTCTTTGACAAATCGACGCAATGTGCTTTTGCCTGATGTAACTTTTCAGCGTGAAGATTGGAAATCCAGGATCCAAACCGGATATTCATACACATGGTATGTTGAATATAAGACTGAATTATCAAGCTTTTATTTTCAATATAGAGCCAACTCCCTAATCGATCAGCCGTGTCCAAAGAGGCCATGAATCACAGACATTGTTTCCGAGACCCTATTCACTGATAGCGGTTTAGTATGAAAATTTCTCGCATAAAAGATCTACCAGCCTTTCTTGATCACTCTTTCAGAGAGGAGATTAAACTACATAGACCCTTTTCAAAGCCGGTTAGTAACAGTGCAAAGCGGTTTTTCTTCTCTTTATTAGAAACATAAAACCTCGAAATTCAAAGTACGAGTTTTTTTATGTGTTTCTTGCATTTGACTCGAATTCTTTTACTGCTAGCAAACACGTTAACCGTGGTAAACTGAGATATATCGAGGTTTTAAGCTGCTCGCACAGATTTCGCATGTACCCTGTCAAGGCGAACCGCTCTTTTTTAAGGGTTTTATAAGCACTATGGTCATGCATTCCTGTTCAACGAATGCTATAAAAACGATCAATAATCTGTCTCTTTGAATGATGAAACAAAAGCGTGCTGTAAAGTAATAGCAGTAAATATCCTAGACGATAAGTGTCTCTGAAAGAGGATGCTGCAGAGGAAACTGAAACATTTTCAGATCAATGAAGTTTCCTTGCTCGAATTCTCGTTGAGAAGATGCGTGACTAACCAAATTGCATTAGCTTATGAAGTCTTCCTAAAGTATTAGACATCTAATTTTGGCACATCAGGCTTTTAACTTATATATAGAGCGACATTCCCTTAACTTATATCCAGCCTTAAAACACAGGCACTCTTCCTTAAGGTTGCCTTTACCGATGACAGTCTATCATGCAAAAAAATTTACCTACGCGCGAAATTTTCAACCCTCTCGGCTTGAAACCGGGCAATATTAATATATCGCCAGGGGTAGGGGGAGGAGGCTTGTAGGATAAACAATCTTTCAATCCTGTGATTTCAACGAACTTTAGACTTTGTCATTTGTTAGAACACATTTCCATTGATGTGTGTAAAATCAAAAGAAAAGAATCACAGTTGTCAGTCAGTGCAAAGGACAACATCACAAGCAGCTGAAGAAGGCACAAAGCCAGCGAACGTGAATGACTTAAGCAGCGTCCCTTACGTTCGATAGCAATAACTCGTTTTCAATGAAAGACCCAAAACGAAGGTAAAATGAACATCCTAATGAACAAGACAAAACAAAACCTGAAGAAAAAAATTAAAAAAGATGCACAAAAAAAACTGAGAGCAAAGCAAAGCGAAGCTGAATTAGTGAGACAAAAAAATTCCTTTATCATAAAAGATATTTGATACGGTCGAATTCACTTGTTATTAACTAGGCGTTCTTGCGCTCGAACTCCTTCCCTCCTGTGTATTCTATAGCATCAAAATAGTTCTTAATATTTGAAATTTTAAGCCGAATTCAAGTTTTAAATACGACGTTTGTGTCAACAGATTGAAGTGCGGCCGGAAGAGAGATGACGCTTGCATTCAGTCGTCTAAACAATAGGTGCATAGTATATTTTCATCTTATAACAAGGCTTAGTTTTTAGCAATGTTGATTCAAGGATTGCGTTAATCTAGGACGAATTTTGGTTTGCGCATCCACAAACGATAGTCTTAAACTCATCAGATTTTTCGGAAACCACGAGTGCTTATTGAAATCTTTTGAATCATGATGGCCAATCGAGTTAGCTCTTGCCCTCAGGATCATAGACGCACTGACGACTTCAATGAACCCGAATTCTATAATTTCTTAAGCTTTTGTAAATTCATCATTTTTTTCTTGGTGACCAGTTGCTTGAAGACTGAATTTAGGAATACAAAATATCCACAGATAATCAAATATAGTGTCGATTTACCCATAATCTTTGGTTAAGAATCGAATACCATGTCTGAGGTTACGTAATTTTTCATTGATTTCGGTCGTTCAAGCCTCCAAGCCGTGCGTGAAATACTCTTAGCAAAGTATTTGAATGTTCGAGGGCTTAGGAAAAATAAAATTTTCATCGTACAACAGAGTACAGCTGAGACCTGCAGCTGGGCTTTGGCTTCTATGGTTTTTCAAATAGATGAAAACGTTTTTCCTTTAAATCTCACTCAATGCAGTCATCCGCTTCTCCCGTTTATCTCACATCAGAAACGAAAAGAAATTGGCAGAAGTGATGGCGCTGGAGTGTTTAGCTAGATTTTGTGTTTACTTGGATACTAACCACCACTGATTCAATTGTTCTTTAATGAGGTCCCTAAGGGAACTTTAGAGTTTTTTTAAAATCCATTGTATTTAGGACGTCTACTTTGCATAAACAAAATAGATGAACTTCAGCGTGGAATGTTGATGGTATTGAATGTGAAAATGGCAAACAAATAAAGGCTATCTGTAGTTTTGGTCTAAATATCTGTTACAAGACGCTGTTCCTGGAGGTAAGATTCTATGATACTTGTAAAAATCTAAACATTCGTAGATCAGACTTTTTCGTCAAACAATCACGTGTTTCGTAGGTGCTTAATTTCAGAATTATATAATCCTTTTTGTCACCTTGTAACAATAAATTTATGGAGTGCTGTCAGCGTCATTTAGTTCACTGTTCTATTGAACAAGTTTTCTATCATCACGTTGCCGCGAATTTATGAAAATATCCAAGATCTTTAAAGAGCGTTTTTAAAATGCATCTAAAGGGCGTAAATTTCTGCTCTGTGATTACTTAATTCAACTGGCGTTTGTAAAGGTACATTGGTATGAAGCGTTATTAGACCAACAATATTTAGATTGTCAGTCTAAACTTCCGAACATAATTGAAAAGAGCCGAACATTATTCGGTTAGACGTTGAAACATAACTTAACAATGCAGCCGTATAAAATGCTAAACGCCATAAAATAAATTGCATCTTTATTTAACCCCAATAAATAATACATAGTCTTCGGTTGAATTATTATGGCAATATAGATAGCAGAGTATCTTTTAGATGGGCAAAAAAATGCCGGAAAATTTCTAAGACGTACATTCAGCTGAAAATTGTACCGATCTAAACGCATTTACAATTCGCGAACATTGGCGGGATGTGTCATGATGAATGAGTCCTCGTAGCCGGTTAGGTGCTATATTCGTATGAATCAACCAACCATATCTAACCAATTTAACATAAAAAATCACTCCATAAAAAGTAAAAGACCAGGTCATTACTTTCAATGTTTACTACGTTTAGACGGAAGGAGTGTATTCGAAGTAACCAAATGGCGTAGAGCGATTTAAATTTTAAAAATGATCTGTCAGAGTAAGGGTCGTATATGTAAATTTCTGCAGGAAAGCATTCAAGCGTAAAAAAGTCACCGTCCGATTGTGACGCTTATCTGCTCTCTGTGGCGTTTCAAAAGATCGTTCTGTTCTGAGACATTTTGTAATAACGATATATTTTGTAATAACCTACGCATTTTGTAACAAAGTTTGCGGCATTTTGTATTAAATCGCACCTTTGAAGTATTATTGCAGCATTTTGTATCAAAGGCGAGCTAAGTAATTGTCGCGGCATTTTGTAAGAATAGTCGGTCTACGCAATTTGTAACAACCGGCATGACGCAAATTGTGGTAATATCAATTTTTTCACAGAAACATAAAGACAAAGAAGGAAAAGATTGTTTCATTGAATGAGTGACGAGGTATGATTAGTAGGCCTCTTTATTTAGGTATAGCCAGAAAATAATGCTTTAAGATTGATCTATGTGGCGTTTGTAAACAAAGGTGTGCCTTCACTCCCACTGAAATGGGCATCTCAAGTGGTTATTGTTATCACTTCTTTGATTGGCAGATTGAGCTGAGTGAATTTAATATGATTGGCTGAACATAGTCAACTGGCTGATTACTCAGTTAGGTTACAACTCTACAGAATAATTAGTGAAAATTTAAGCATCTGATGCACCAATCACGTCTGAGAAAGTTGTAATGGTTATGATTAATGAAGTACTCTAGTTGATCTTGCAGATATATTGATTTAGATTTCATTTTTACTTCGGGAAAATACTTTAGGATCCAGCTGAAAGGCCTTGAATGAACGTGATTGCCATTAATTGTAAAATCATTAGGCGTAGAAATGAGCTAAGAAATTGGCTTGACTACATATTTGTGATTGAAGTAAAAAGGCAATTGAATTGGGACAATTAACAGGCAAAGATTGTATTCTTTTTCGAACAGTTTGAGCAAACTTTACTACATTTCGGTCAGAAGTTTTATTCTTTTACCAGTTGAGTGTAATACATTCTGTCTTCTTCTTAATGTGTCTCCACGCTTAATGAATCAAATTTTATATTCTTTTCAGATTTTTTTTTTTTAGAAGTACTTCACTTTCTTATTATGATGTACAATAACGTTCTTGAACTAGGTTACTCAATAATTAACACACTATCTATTCGTGCACCGACAAGAATCGATAAGTGCTTGTTTATTTATCTGCGGTTGTTTACACAAAAATATTTGAAATCTTTTTATTTTCTTGCTTTCGTTTCTGCAAAATCAGTAAATTCCCCAATAGAGCACCTGATTCGCTGCACATCGGATCTGGTTATGTAAACAAATTGTTAGTAGCGGAACCCTAGCTTTCTATACAAGTAGGTTTTTTTTTTACAAATAGAATGGATCGGACTTTAGCGTTAAAGTACGAACCTCCCTTTAATTGATCACAACAATAGAAGTTCCGATAAAGAGCTGCGCCTAATGAACGGGGTCGAATAAACAATGGTAACTGAACTGAGTGGAGTGCAATTTGTATAGGTTATTACAAGGTTTCGAGTGCAATTTGGACTAAATAATCACGTTTAAATTTTTTCGATATTTGGAAAAATTTACTCGTGCTTATTTATTCCAAATTGTACTCGAAATCATGTGATTATGTAGGAATAATATGCATGAAAAAATACGAGATAATTTATTCAAACCGCTGCAAGTGACATTGTGCGTTCGGTCAAAACAACCACGTACGATCGAAACAATAATTCTATGATGATATTTTCACATCTTTAGGGCCCAAAAAAGTTCAAAGTCCGGCTGAACAGTTAAAGGGATTTTTCAGTCTGGTTTGTTACTTCTTTGCACTGAACCAGCCCTCTTCTGCGTTGAATTACCTAAAAACCGCATTTATCTTAACCAAGCAGAACTGAGTAATTTTTTTCATGTATCTCATTAGGTCTGAGATCATAGGCGTGACTTGAAATTACAAATATGCTTTAAGACCAAAATCGCATCTCACTCAGTTCTATTAACACTCTATTACATCAACTTTGTAATAGAAAAATACAAATACATGTTTTTTTAGTCTGTATAAAACTTTTATTGATCCAGTAGTGAGATGTTTGTAGAAATTTGAAAAATTTACCTCGCTGCGATTTTCTGCAATTTGGTTGGTTACTGGTTAAGAATATATGAAAGTCATATATTTGAACTGCGGATAAAGATGTTAATGAAAGTGATCCTCGCAGTAATGTGCACTACTTAGGCAGTAGTGAAAACAAGGCCTGAAAGAAATTCAGGCCTGTACGGGATTTGAACCCATGACCTCTGCGATACCGGTGCAGCGCTCTACCAATTGAGCTAACAAGCCAACTGGGAGCTGGTCATGAAGTTGGTTGATAACGTCTTTATCCGCAGTTCAAATATATGACTTTCATATATTCTTAATCATTTATTCATCACTTCATGGGTTTATTTAGAACTCCCAGTTGGCTTGTTAGCTCAATTGGTAGAGCGCTGCACCGGTATCGCAGAGGTCATGGGTTCAAATCCCGTACAGGCCTGAATTTTTTTTCAGGCCTTATTTTCACTACTGCCTAAGTAGTGCACATTACTGCGAGGATCACTTTCATTAACGTTGGTTGGTTACTCTTAACAAGCCTTTAAATCGGTTAATTTATTGTGTTTTGTTAAAGCTTTCTCATTGATTGGGAAAATAATGTAATTTAGAGCAAAAAATGGTGGGATTCGAGAATAAATCGCTTTGATGAGAGCCAATCAGACTGCAAAGATCACCAGTGATTTCAAAATGGATGTAAAAAATCTGGAAAACTAGAAAAAGTCTAAATCTTTTTCAGATTAATAGCATAGGGTTTGAAAATAAATCGGTTCTTCAAAATTCTGCCGCTCGTTTTATTTGCTTCTTGTAATCAGGAATTATTTCATAGAACCGATTGTATACATAGTGGTAATAGGACCGAGTAGAGTCCAGTTCGGTCTGTAATCATAGAGTGATTAACAAAATCGGACGACCATGAAGCGGGAGTCCGATTTGTTTATCACGAGTATGATTATAGACAGAATTGGACGACAAGAAATCCTGTTACCAGTCAATCATAACCATTTCAATTTCCGAAAAATCAATTACACCTAGAACAAATATCTCCAGTGGAGACAATGTCTTCAATTAAAAATTCCTCCATTTTGGAAATTGCCTGGTTTTTCATTGAATAAGTGGTTGTTGCTATGGTTATTGTGATCAATTCTGTGATCGGTGGATTTAGCTGAGTGGACCTAGTATGATTGGCTGCTTCAACTGTCCAATTAAAGGTGTCCGATTACAGCCAATTGTCCGATTACAACTGTAAAGAATGATCAGTGAAAAATGAAGCACCAATAACAATTGAGGAATTTGTAATGATTATGATTATTAAGGAAATTGATTTTGTTTACACGGAAATTCTGGCGTTAGCAAGGAAGGTATCGTTTACCAAGAGAATTATGGCTCCGTAAGAAAAAGTTCAATCTGTTCTGCAATCAACATGGACAGAAAAAGATAAATGATTACTGTATGAAAAGAAATCTTGGGTTATCTAAGGAACATTTATTGATGTTTTGTTTGTTCGCTTCTATCAGATCCAGTGTCTGAAAATATGGAAAACCAAGGATATAAAAAACTCTCTACCCATGAAGTTGAGGAATCCAGAGAGTCCTTTTTGTCTCTTCTCTTCTTCCATCAGATGAGTGATGTTTTCAAGACGGGCAATAAGCGAAATTTAGACGAGAAGGACTTTCTACCTCTTTTAGAGGAACACACTTCATTATCAACCACTAAAAAGCTTCAAAAGGAATGGAACAGTGAAATTACAAAGAGCCAAGAAAGTGGTAGAAGACCGAAACTTTGGAGAAGCATTATAAAAACTATCACTGTTCGGGAAGTGGCTATTATTATTTTTGCAGAAGCTTTAAATTTTATAAACCGTATGATTCAACCTCTGCTTCTTGCATATCTAATCTCAGCACTGACCTCAGATGATCACCATTACACTCTTATGACCTACGGAGTTGCCATAGCAATGGGCATTAGTCCTCTGATAGGTTCCTTTGGACTCCATCATCGGGCATATTGCAGCGAACTGTTTGGAATAAAAGTCAGCAGCGCCCTTAAAGGTCTCGTTTACATCAAGGTAAGCACCTGAGAGGAGTTATTTTGTCTTCCTCTGTACAGTGAGTTTGTTTGAGTGATCAAAAGTAACAGGAATGTAAAAGAACCAGGGGTGGAAATCTGTATACCCACCGAATCATGCACGTACTTCTAGGGTATGTAATAGAACAGGCAACAACTGTACGAGACACGTAGATAAGACAGGAAAGCTGCGACAAGTAAGTGTTTAGCTAAGAAGAATTACAACCCTCTTACTCTGGAAAATCCAAGATGAGGACCATTCCTCGCAACTTTAACTACCAGAGAGTTTTCTACTTCTTCATAATCTGAGATTGTCATATAATTGCTTGCTCATAATTTCTTTAATTTCAGACTCTCCTTCTCAGCAAGGATACCTTGGTGAACGTTTCAACTGGTCGGGTGATTGACCTTATATCAAACGATGTTCAGAGGATGGTAGAAGCGCCCTTTTGGTTTTTCCCCTTAGCTTATGTATGGCTGGACATTTTCTTGGCTTCGTTTATCCTTGCCTTCTTTATTGGCTGGCAGGCCGTCTTGGGAGTGATTTTCTTATGTGTTCTTGTGCCATATTACGCCGAGCTTTCCAGTATGAACGCCCTAATGCGCCAGCGAACCGCAGCGGAGACTGATCAGCGACTTTCCCTGATAACTGAAGTGGTTTCCGGGATCCGCACGATAAAAGCATTTGCGAATGAGAATGGTTACCGCGAGAAAATACGGGGCAAAAGGAGGTATTGGGAATCATTGTAAAATCATCGTTAAAACTGCTTCAAACTTTATCTTTTCGTTCCAACGCAATCTGAATATTGATCTTAACTAAAAAGTTAAAAAAAATTGTGATTTGTGATTTTTGGAAAATTTTCTCGTTTCGAAATAGAATACAGCACATGTTTTACCTGCAATGGGAACAGAACAGATATCACTAAGGGCTAGTTGTCAACACTGACCAACCCTCACTCGTAGATGAAACACACTGATAGAAACATTACACCCTTCCTCGGTGGCTAACCATCGAATATCCTCTTTTCGTAATTTGTGCGGCCGAGACATTCGAAAATACTTAACACTAAATTAGGCAGGGTTTCTTTGACTCAACCGTTGAGTGTTTTTTTGTTACCGATAGACATCTTCTGCAATGCTCCTCTGTCAGCTCGTTTCTATCTAATACCGCTTTCCAATCAAAAGTTCGCGCTTTAGGCCCGGTTTATATCCTTTTTCCCTAGCAAACGTAAATCATTTCTATTAACAAGGAGCATCTTTACACTTTACTTACAGACAAGAGATTGGTATCATACGCAAGAACACTACAGTGCTGTCTTGCATTGCTACTCTGGAGTACACTGCTGCCCCAATAGCGACCCTGCTGTCTGTCATCTCTCTCATGTTAACCGGCCAGCCTCTCACGCCCAGTGTGGTCTTCCTGATCCTTTCTTACATTAACGTCCTCAAGCGAAGTGTCTGTATTGAATTAGCCCAAGGTTTCTTGAAAACTTATGAAGTTTACGTCTCCCTCAGTAGGATAGAAGACTACCTTCTTCTTGAAAACCTGCCTCCGATTTCTTCTAACAGGTTCTCTAAGAAGAAAGGGTATGTAGAAAAAAGCCCAGTCATTATGGGGAACCCGCAGAATAGTTTAGTGGATTTCACAGAAGCCATATATGATAAAAAAAGTGATAGCCAAAATGACCGTGGAACACAGGAAAATTTGCGTGTTTCGAGTTTAACGCACAAACAAACGAAAAGGAAGGATACATTCATATTACAAGATGTGGAGTTCGACACCACGCTAAAGAGTTTCACAGCGGTCACTGGAGCAGTTGGCAGCGGAAAATCTAGTCTACTCTCGGCAATCGCTGGCGAGTTGTCAAACGTGAGTGGAACAATTTCTTTTGGTGGAACGTTCGTCTATGTACCCCAGAAAGCTTGGGTCTTCTCTGGAACTATCAGAGAAAACATTTTATTCGGTCAGCCTTACGATGAGATCAGGTATGCTAGGACAACTGAGGTTTGCGCCCTTGTAGAAGACATTCGGAAGTTTCCTAAAGGTGACCAAACATTTGTTGGTGAGCGAGGTGCCACTCTAAGTGGAGGTCAGCGTGCAAGAATTAGTTTGGCACGGGCGATATACTTAGATGTAGATTTGTACTTGTTAGATGATCCGCTAAGTGCAGTGGATTTGAGAGTTGGCCAACACATCATGAAAAATTGCATCAAGGGGCTGTTAGGCAACAAAACACGATTGATAGCTGCTCACCAAGAGGAACACTTAAAAGAAGCCGACCAAGTGATTGTGCTGTACCGAGGTAAATTACTTGGAAAGGGTAAATTTTCGGAGCTTCAAGAAAGATGTATTCTAAATGAAAGCACTGGTACACAGTTGAACAATGATCCGAAAGAACTAAAGTCCGACAGCGGTAATATAGAAAAGAGCAAAAAGGGAGAGGAAGGAATGGTGCAACTAGCCAGTAGAGGAAAGGAGATGGAGATTTCTGAGGAAGATCGCTTTAGTGGAAATGTGTCATCCAAGCTGTACTGGAGCTACTTTAGAAGCGGAATTAGTAACTTATCAATCATTGCAACTATTTTTTTGTTTCTTGTTGCCCAAGGTAAGCCAGTTCAGCCAGTTTTGTCTTTCGAAAAAGCAAGCTTAGCGTATGTTTATTGAAGAGTGCAGCCTTGTACCTATCCTTCTTAGGGGTCAAAAAATGTATTGTGATTAAGTAAATATTAAAACTTAATTCTTAAAGAGCCATTTTGATCCCAATCGAGAATGTATTACATCAAAGCTACTCGATCTGGCTTCAAACTATTCTTCCATTTTAAACATTATGAAGTATATAATTACCTATTAGGTAATCAACTGAAATTTCGTAAGATAATAGTCTCACTATTTCTTTCCCAGGAATTCTTGTGGCTCCTAATGTCTGGCTCGCGTTTTTGGTGAAGAGACCACCAGGAGAGCAGCGATACAAGAGCACACTTATCATTTATGGTTGTTTAGTTTTTGCGTCTGTCATTTTTATCCACGTAAGAGCAGTTGTGTTCTTGTTAGTGAGCTTGAAATGTACTGAAAGACTTCATGACAATATGGTGATAGCTGTCCTGCGAGCGCCAGTTCTTTTCTTTGATTCTAATCCATTGGGTAGAATTCTCAACAGATTCTCCGAGGACATTGGATGCATGGATGAAATACTTCCCCAAAGGTTTCTACTCTCGATACAGCTGTCGCTGCTACTTTTGACCACATTTACTCTACCAATCGTCGCAAATCCCTGGCTTCTGATCGTCTTTTTACCGGTTGCTGTCCTGGTCGGTTTTATCACGAGATATTACCTAAAGACATCTAGAGACCTGAAAAGATTAGAGGTAGCATCTCGTAGTCCGGTCTTGTCTCATTTAGCGGAAACTATGAATGGTGTGGATACTATTCGAACAAGAAGCAGGCAGAGAGCTTTCGAGGATAAGTTTCACAGGTACATGTTTAATATGTTTTGGTACATGTTGCAGATACATTTCAGATATTCATGTCAGTCTTGTCGAGCAATGGAACGGGGGAACGGTGTTCCTAAGTCTCAGGATGGGTGCCGCCTGCAGCGAGGTTTTCTTTAAAAAAAAAGAGAAATTGATAAAAATGAAATAGATAATTTAAAAAAATTTATGGACTGAAAAGAATGCATAGGGTAGACTGAAAAAAACATACCATAAAAACAAAAAGGATTAAAAACCCCGGCCGATAAATGACATCCCGCGGGCGCAGATAAGGAAAATTCCCTCCATGAAACATTTCAAACTATTAACAAAATAAATTGTACCTCCTTAAAGTTTGATTTTTTTTTGTTTCTGATTTTTTTTAGTTCGCTCCCAATTTCATGTAATGTATATTTAACATTGCCAAGCTAGAGGGTTAGACACGAAAAAGTCGATTTGAACCAAACTTTGTATGCACTTGGGATAGGGAGATATTATTGACATTATTATTACTATTATCATTATCACTAACTTTTTTCCCCAAAGGCATCAAGATCTCCACAATCAGGCAAGTGTTATGTGGAAACAAGGAGCTAGATGGCTTTGTGTTCGCCTGAGTCTTTTGTCGTGCCTATTAGTGACCGTAGTGGCTCTCGCATCGATATTGATGTCACAGGATGCCGGTGAGTAAAAATGTAATCTTTTGGACTCGCAGGAAACCAGGTGTCAAACTTGGTCCACGTTCCATAATTCTCTTGAATTATAAAATTCCATATGCACATTGTATTACCAGCCTCCTTTGCAAAGATTTTTTGAAGGAAAAATTGATGTTACAGAAGGCATAAACTGAAGAACGATAAGAAAACGACAAGCAGCAACAACAACAACAACAATGGTATCCAGATTTGATATAGAGGTGCGCCATAGCACCTCAGAAGCTAATCTTGTGTCATTACCCTAAGGACGCAGGCGGCTGACATTCATTGAGGACATACAGTATTAGTTAAACTATGCCTAAATTCGCACATAATTTTGATTGCTAAATGCAGTATATTCAATTCAGAACAAAATTGCAAGTAATGGTATGGAAAGAGATCCACTACTGCAATAATGGTGTTTAGGTTAAGAGCCTCTAACAAGTACAGAGGCAGGTTTCCTTGATCTTGACCACCCAAGCAAGGGTTATTTGTTGTATAAATAAGAAAAAAAAAACCTTTCCTTGTTGGTGAGTCGACAGCCTTGGTCAGCTGTTAAGCATTCTTCGTAAGAACAATACCATGTAACACCTGGTGGTTTTCTGAATCAATTAGTCATCCTGATAATATTCTGGGTTGTCAGCTAATATTGGCCCGATTTTTCTTGCCATTTTAGAGACGTTCTGTAAAATAAGATGCAGCTATAAACCTTAAAGCATTTAATTTTTTTTACGCCATTATCCATTGTATAAAACCACATACCAGAAGCATCAAAAGACAAAAGCTAATCTTTTAATAGAGACGAAACTCAAATAGATCTAGATTCAAATCCAAAATACAATTAGAGCATTTTTTTCTGAGGAGATTAATGTGTCGTTTCTTTTTGGCCTTTCAGCTTTTGCAGGACTATCTCTTGCTTACATCATCCAGACTGTTGTCTTAACTGAACTTACTGTCAGAGAATTAGCAAATGTCGAGACTTATATGACGTCAGTCGAACAAGTGATGGCATACACCAAGATTGATCCTGAGCCCGGATACAAACAGGAACGACTTCCACCGGCGCGATGGCCAAGCGAAGGAAATATCACATTCCAAGACTTTTCACTGACGTACTATCCTGGCGGTCCGCAAGTGCTGAAGGGCATCAATCTGTCAATTAAAGGAGGTGCAAAGATCGGAGTGGCGGGACGTACAGGAGCCGGGAAATCATCAATTGTTGCGGGTCTTATGCGCATGCCTGACCCAAACGGACAAGTAATAGTTGACGGCATTGGATTGAAAGATCTCAACATACAGGCGGCTAGACGATTCATATCCATCCTTGGCCAAGACCCCGTCATCTTTGGTGGTCCTTTGCGGAAAAATCTTGATTTCGAAGAGCGGTTCGAAGATGCTGATCTGTGGCGAGTGCTAGAGGATGTGCAGCTAAGAGACTTTGTAGAAAGGCTCGATGGACAGCTGAATTATGAGTTGTTAGAACAAGGGTCGAATGTAAGTGTCGGAGAGCGGCAGCTGATTTGTTTGGCCCGTGTGCTGCTGCAACGAAATCAAATCGTCATCTTGGACGAGCCTACTGCGAACGTGGATCCAGATACAGAACAGACCATTTGGAAGGTAGTACGCAAGATGCTCAAAAACTCCACAGTCATCATTATAGCACATCGCCTGCACACTATCCAGGACTGTGACAAGATTCTTGTTTTCCATAATGGCGAGATCTCCGAATATGACAGTTTGGACGAAGCTAGCAAGCACCTTACTTAGAGTTTCCCAATTTATGGGCAATAGCCTCCATTTGGCACAATTTATACACGGATAACCGTCCGCGGACATTATCTTTATCAAGATGCGATATATTGACCTGTTCTCAACCAATGAGCTGCTAAAATTTGTTCTTGTATGTCATCAAAGCTTTCATAGCACACTGCTTTTTTCATGGTTTTAATTGGGTGTATAGTTTTATTGGACAATATATGCGTTACCCACCTCTTCATGATTGGACGGTACGCTTCATTTGCGCGATCCGATTGGTATACCCTAAAAGGTATTGTGGGTAGATTTCAGATTACGGTTCCTGTTCCTTGACCAAATGATTTCAGGGAAATCTTTGAAAATGTCAATGTAAGGGCGAGGCATCGCGAGTTTTATGAATTTATCTACTTTTTTTGCGTGCTAAAATTCATTGATTGACAAATTTGAAATATTTTGGTAAGTCGCCCGAAATTAGCTTTCAATCTTACTTTCGTATTTTGTAGCCCAATATGTCCTAATAATTGTGGTGTAGTTTTTTTGTCAAGATATATTTTAGTTCTCGAGAAATGATTTTTTTCGTTGGACCGTTCAAATATCCAAATTTTCACCGTGAATATTACCCGAGTTGTGTGACCTCATGTAACGAATATACTTGACCTCCAGTTTTTCTGTCAACATAATCCTTTATTTTATCATCTAAACTTAATACCCTTTCATTACTGGAGCCGGCAAAGAAATATTTATTTTTTGGTAAATATTTCTATCCGACATACTTTTCCTATGTCGAAAGTAACATCAAAACAAAGACAGTTTTAACAATGACCGATATGACAGAATTTACTGAGCTTCGAGCTTTTAAAAGACAAAAAGATGGTTAAAAAGTTGCTATAAAAATTTCCTTGTGTATTTGTTTTTCTATCTTGAGACGAACTCAAAGTCCGCCAAAATTTACTTGCTAGCGACTATGAAATATACATAGTGTGCCTTCTTGTCGATCTCAAGCCCAATCTCATGTAAATTTTTGTATGACCTTTCTCTCCCGGTGAGATCACAGGCAGATCACACTATAAGCTCGTGGTTAACAATTGCAGATATGAGGCGAGCGAAATCTATGAGAGTTATGAATAAAGCTCTGAAAATTACATATCTAAATTACACCGCGGTCTGAATATCTCAATAAAGTTAGATAAAATGTGTATCAACTCGTTTGTGGTATTTTTTCACCTTCATGGGCCGTTTGAAGAGTCTTTTTATTACGAAATTACTTCCGGCCAAAAGTAATTTGGAAGAGTTTACAGAAATGAGGGATAATATTATTTCTGTGATAATTAAGTTTCAAATCTTGAACAACTTTTCCCACCCTCTAAAGTTCACCTTCACACAAAGCAAGTACTCTTGGCGTACTCACGAGATTTGCAGAGAATAAAAACTTTCATTTAAAATGAATCATAAAATACGTGGCGCCTGACTTTCAATGAAAAGTACAGTATTTATTTGTTTGAAGCGCCCTGTGCGCTTATCAAATTTTTTGGAGCTTGAGAGTTGGGACGTTTATCTGATGTGGGCGCTTACTGCCCTTATTCGCGGCTAAGCGCTTCTTCAATTTTCACCACTTTTAGCAAGAAGTTATTATATTTGGCAACTAAACAAGAACTGATAACAAAAGGTGACGATGTACCATAAGGGAGTGAATTTAGAGTTTGTAAACCAGTAAAGAAATTATAATCCTCCCCTGATACATTTCAGTTTCCGCTTATTCGAAGCCGCCGGGCTCTCATTAACTCTCTCTAGGCGCTTATTCGAGGTGGCTGCTTACAAATGATACTATTCTTGCGAAAAGAAAAATCATTATTTGTGAAAAGTCTAAATAAAAATGCGTATAAAAGAAAAGAGAAGTTCGAAGAAAGCAAAAGACTACACAGATGGTGCGACATGGGCGCAGACCGAAATCCCCAGCGACTTCAGCCGATGAGAGATGCGATGACACCTGAGAAACCTCCTATTAATCAATCAATCAATCGTTTCCTTGGAGGAATTAAAAATGGTTAAGCTTTAATCATCTCACCCCTCTGAAATGGTAGTTACCAACGTTTGATTTTATTATCTTTAAATGGGAAGAGTCTTCTTTTTGGAAGAACCGAGAAATTTTTTTCTCAAAAAAAGTTTTTTACATTTTCATAGGATCGTCGTTACTTATCCTTATCTAAAGCTCGAACCAGAGGTCTTTCCTCAGAAACGTGAAAAAAGGCGAAAATTTAAATTAGTCCCATTTTCTGAAAAGCCTTTTACTCTATAATTTAAATTTTCACAAGGAGAACTTTTATCTTGCCAGAACTCTTGATTCAACAGCTCTATGTGTATAGATGTAGATAAATCATTTCCAAAGCCGAGTTCCCTACACATTTTTGACACCTCTCTGAAAAATACTGATTGGATGTTCCGTATAGTTGAATACAACATAAGTGCGTTCAAGATGCGTTGGCGATCGATATTCGAAGGCTTATATCTCGTATTTGCGATTGCATCAGAAGCCATGCAAAGGTCTTGTCCACTAGAGAATACCAAAATGTTTAGAGAAAGTACTATTAACTGACTAAAAAGTTTGTCAGAAAGTTCACCGATCATCCGCCATTAGTGGACAATCTTCGCTCTTTGCTGATTTCTGAGACGATTGTTCCAGCTTTGAGCTTTTTTCAGATCCTCTTTTTGTTCTGCCATGAGCTTCTCCAGAAAAGCATACTCCACCTCCATTGTCTGATAACTCCAACTTAAGTCCTCCAGCCGCTGGATAATATCGACGTACCAATGATTCTTAAGAGGGCTGTCATGGCGCGAGTTCAGGGTTGGAAACTCCGATTGAGAGAGAACCATTTTCTCGTTGTTTACAAATTGATGTAGTGTAGAATTTACGCCATCGGTGGCCATGGTTTCCTGTGAAATAAGAAATTCATAGTGAGGCGACTTTTGCGAAAATTCTTGTTTGTCATTTATGGTGTCTGTCAGTCCATTGGTCAGCAAGATAGTCAATCAGTCAGTTAGTTGATCAGTTAGTCAATCAGTCTATATGCATTTAGTCAGTCTACATGCATTTCCCATGCACGCGTCATAGCAGTGTTTATTATGCATAAGGATTTTACTTCACTGTAACTGCAGCTTAAATCTATAATGAAAGCAAAGCGTCTGTTCCTAAGTGTGAAACTTGTCTGTATTCGCATTGAATATTACTTAGTTATCCTGCACACTATTAGTAAACGTTTCAGACGCATAAACTTAATATACTAAAAAAGCGAACTGACATTGATTCTTGAAGCTTTTGTGAAGCGTTTCGTAATTCATGGCTATAATTTTTTACTAGAACTTGCCAAGATGAAAACGCGTATTTATATTGATTTGTTTCAGCCGACAACACACATATAATCAAAGGATAATTGCCTCTAATTTAGACAGAAAACCACAAAAAAAGACTGCACTAATGAAGGCAATTAATGTACCGTTGTTTAACATCAACAAGTCAAAAAGTTTGGAAACAAATCACAACATAAGTACCTTTTAAGCGGAGTAAAAATCTAGGTCAGTTCTTCTTCATTAGAGAGAGCGTGAACAAGTGGTTGAGTATCTGTGCTCAGTTTACGAAGTCTTGTTTATAGTGTACGTGGGCAGAACGCGTTAGCTGAAGTTCTTAACATTCTCGAGATTTTACATCGCGCCGTTCTTTTGTGTAAATTATTCTGAGAGTGAGTCAGTTCTTTGTTTCAAAAGCGCCCCTTTCAAATGCTTTCTTTTTTCTCGCAGTTGGCTTCCATTTGTGAGAGGGTACGTAAGTTAACCCCTGCGGGTCTTAAACGACTCGACCTCCTTGAAGAGAAACATTGGAGCCTTGATTTAAATAGGATAAGAAAGCTGGTAAATTTTGAGCTTAGCCGTTGAAGAAAGTGGGATGCTTTTGCTTTTTGTCGCATGTGTTGATATTCAGGCTTTCCTGTCCCACGCTCGACAAAAAAAGCCAACGAACAAGAAAAAAAAAAAAAAAAAGACGAAGAAAATATTTTTCAACTTTGACTTAGTTTTTATGGTTTGACTTCGAACAGGACTTAGACCATATAATCAGAGAAACACACAACCATCGTGTAATTAATTAGGTCTTCACCCTCCCAAATAAATCGTAGTCTGCCAAGCCAGTTATTGGGTTTTCCAGTTTTTCCGCGCTTTAGATCGTTTTCAAACGAATACTGCTTTCGAAACTGTGTTCTCATATGTGGCTTAAAACGTCTACACTCGATTGCAAAAACGTCGACACCTAAATAGCGTGATCCATAAATGATCAGACATATGGGCTTTATGAGAAATATTCGCACAGTTACATAATCAATAAGCTGTTCTTTTTCCATTATTCATGAAAATCTTTGTTTATGATAATTCTTTACCACGTGCAACCACCTGTGGTTCTTACGCACAGGAGTATCCAAAAAGCCTTTGTGTCCCATCGTTCATTGCTAACGCTTTTTGGGCGTAAATTTTTTTGCAATCAGGTGTATATAATTTTTTGAAATTCGATGGACTTCTGGATATTTATACTATCTAACCTTGCTTTCTATACTCTGTGAATCCGCCTAATTGTATGATAATGAGTCAAACGACAGTGTTACTTACATGAAAAGGTTTTCTTCGAACTTCACAGCTTTCCCTATTCGGAAACAAAGTCTCGTTTTGAAACCCGCTGATGTTTTGTTGTCGACCTCGCGGACTCAAGGAGTCATGCTTTTCCGGCGTCGAGGTCCTAGGTGTACCCTCCACGGGCTTTTTAGTCACTTGGCTCGATACTGACGAAGACAAGGTGTCTCCGGAAGTACTTTTCTGCGGAGTGGTGACTGACGTGTTGTTTCCTTTCTGTTGAGGGCTTTTTTGTGAGCCAGGCATCTATAAATCAAACAGAAAACATGTAATCAGCATGTTACCTTCTGCGCTTCAGATTTAGATTTTGTGGTTCCCACGAGGCTGCTTTAAAAACAAGAAAAATCGAGGAGAACATTTCGCCTTTCCTCTTGTAGTTTTACCAGATACTGAATTGATCTAGTTCTTTATTTTCAAAACTTCCAATAATTCTTCTGCAATGATGTCTAAATTCAGTCAGAAACTAGCTTTTCTTGTAAATCCGTTTATTACTGGATCTTCAAACTCTCATCCGTTTCTGTAAAGTAAGATTTTAGCCGCAATTTACAAATTACTGGAAAAATCATAACTAAAGAGCCAACAATTTAACTGTGCAGGCCAACTTTATATTAAAATTGACTTTTTTTTTTATCTAATATATCTTTAACCAAAGAGTTTTGGGGCAAAATCAGTACAGGGTTATCGAGAAATAATTATCAAACCTTTCTCAATTTGCATTTTAATGTACCAGTCAGGGGTATTCCCGCCAAAAACAATATTGAATTTGAACTAATCTGTCGAGGTAAATGCTCTTCAGGTATCAATGTTGTCATCAATATTTCTAGTTTAGTTTGGGCTTCTCATTCAAGAACAATTATTTTTTTTAACATATCCCGTACAGTATAAAAAATTTCCCTTTCATTTTTCACCGACTTCTCTTCCACATGTTTGAGAGCAAATTTTCCAACAATAGAGAAATCTCATTTCCCGTAATGCAGGTGCACCTTATTGTCATTCTTTTCAACAAGTATGTTCCTGCAGCGAAGACGTCGAGATGAATTTGTCGAAATTAGCATATGTATTCAAAATGAAAAAAATAAAAATAAAACCTGGCAAATCGGGAAGTTTTGGTTGAGATTTTTGATCTCGTAGCAGTTTGATTTGCTACATGCTTTGTTTTTGCCTTTCGCAACCAAACCATTATGAACAAATATTCCTTAGCATAAACAATTTGGACGTTTCTGGGATAATGGCTTGGGTAAACATTACAAAAAAACTACCTCCAACCAAAAATTTTGTCCAAACTGTCTGATGCATTACCAGTTATGTTGTAAATCAGATTGAAGATCTTTATTCTCATTGTCTTCAAGCCTTTTTGTTAAGGAAAATATACTAGCTTTCTTTTCTCTGTTTTTTTAATTCAAGCGAAGTGTCACGGGAAAATGAAAATAGCTACGGTTCAAATTATCCTGTTCCCTACCTTATCTGGATTTGTTTCTCGGCTCGTGTTCGTAGAGAGATGAATCTACAAGGCAACAAAAACTAAAAAATCAAATAATCTTCGTTATATCTTAAAAAACTTGGCACAAATAGGGATCTGTTCCAAGAAGATGCTGCGCGTTTAAATGACTGTCATAAAGAACTACTGTTATATTCAACCTACCATCACTGCTGAGACATATGTAACCTGTTCTTCAGGAACAGATTTTAACGGCAATCCCACTGATCTAACTCGAGGAGTTTTAGATCTTGATGTGACATACCGCGAGCGATACATGTTCAGTGAGGGAAAATTAACCGAGATTGTATTTAGATTTTGTCGGCGCACTCTTTCCTACAGCTGTTTCCGCGTGGTTTTGAGGACGTAAATTATTTCATAGTATGAATTATTAATCAACAAAAGACCCGCTGAAACAGAATTTTACGACTCAGCCTCCGATACGTACATCATAATACCTGCGATAATCGACAAAATTTATAGTTTCGAAAATTTGCATTGCATATTCGGAATTTAAACGCCTTGGATATTTAAAACTTGCAAAATTAAGCGTAAATTATCATGATATGTACATCATTTTTCTGCTAAGATAGGAATTTATTCTAATCTTTCAGTTTGGCTTACTATTTTGATTGCTCTAATCTTCTTTGTCTTTATGGTTACCAACAGGCAGCAGGATTTCGATGTCCACTGACAAATAGACGTGCATATTTTCGCACCAAAAGAAGGCTAATGCTTATTTATGAAAGATGCAAAAGTTGGAAATGCAAGGAAATCGTGATTTGATGTGCTAGGAAAGGAGAGAAATACTCTTATAACTCAATGAGAGAAAGCAAAAGACGCAATCAAGCTTTTACTAATAATTCAATATCTATTTTTAAAAACATTCCGGTTCTTTTAAGGGGCCAAGGATGTCTTTTTTCCTTCAACGTTTTTTTGACAAGTCTAAAATGTGTGTTTTTGGTCAGTATTTTGGCAAATTTCGTTATGTTATCTCTTCAGTCGGTGAGGTCCTGGAAAAGCAATACGGAAATAAAAAACAAAACGGGATTGGACGTCGCTAAGTGCTTGTATTCAGATCCTCGGTAACCTGACCATCTAGAAAATTTGGTATGGTTGACATTGGGTCATGAAAGCTTGCACTTGGCAACAATTTGCAAAATAATAATAATGATAATAAAATTAAAAAATGGAGAAGTAATTGGAAGTTCATATCTTTTACTTTTTAGTAAACAACTAAAGTAAATGGCCATGATACGCTGAAACGATGCCACAAGTTACTTGTCACAACAGTGCATAAGAAAAAAGGGCTTGCCAATAAACGGGTTTTTAATTACGTCAAGTATTTCAAAATTTGGAAAATATCTCGTCATTTTGTGATACACGCCATATTGTTTCTTTTATCTTACACATGTCAATTAATTGATACTAATTGCGGCCTAAAGATTTCTGCGGTTCAGAGCAGCTTGCCGGGAAAGACATGGCCAGGCGAAAGTTTTGAGTGTATCAACTCGTGGTAGGCATGCCATCAAGAAAGAAAGAGATTTAATCGCCATAAAATGAATTAAGAACGATACGAAATGATTATTAGAGGAAGAAAGAAAAACAAGAAAAAAAGAGATTTAATCGCCATAAAATGAATTAAGAACGATTTTTCAATTTTTATTAGAGGAAACAAAAAACAAAAAGTTAAAAAATCAAAGAAAAAAACTTTTGAACGACTTCCAGATGGTCTATTGTCGACGGCTTAGTCTTGATACGTTTGATTTTTCCTATTTTTAGTTTTAATGCATGGATAACGTTAACAGTTGAAAACAAAAAGCTAATAAAATCGTTATCAAGGCCTTAACTTTTGTGTCGCAAAATGCCAGAAATTGAAGTAAAATTATAAGAGTGGTATCAAATAGTCTTGATACGTTTAGTGTAAACCTATGATGTTAGTAGTTTAATGCTAGTGCTGCCTTTCGTTAACAGTTGATGTGATGTTCATGTTTTTTCATGCGTAATGAAAACACCATTGTGGAAATGCTGAATTATAAATGCGGGTTAGATCTAGACTAAATGTCTTAAAAATTGTTTATAATGTATTTTCTGATTGTGAGGCCTTTCCTAAAAATATTGTTGTGAAGTATTCTGTTCGTTACAAACAAGGAACGACCGCTGAAGGAAGCTAAACTAAAACATTTTCTTTTTGCACCATCGATGGTCCAGTTTCCGAATCACTAGTAAGCTCAGTTTTTAAAGAACATATGATATATTTTATCAATGATTTGTTGTAATAACTATATATCATGGCTAACGAACCTCATTTTCAAATTGTTCATCGCTAGTAGCTGTGACATCGATATCCACAGCACCACCGGCCTGAGAAGTGTTGTCTTCAAATTCAGTTTGTTGAACCATAGTTATGATAGATAGTGGCTGATCTGGAACTCTAGTTGAAAGGGAAGATGCCTTTTCTTAGCTATCAAATGAAGGTCAGAAACAATAATAATTTGAATTATTGCGACAGATTTTCATATTATCCTGCAAAACAGAACCGACGCTAACGGCTGCATTGTGAAATCCGATCATATTGTGCAAGCAGACAATAGCTTTGCATGTGCAGTCGTTACCAATTGTTTGGATATCCCTTGAGAGGCTAGGCTGCTTTTGTTTTCCTCAATCGAGTTTTAGCGCCCAAGCTGTCGAAGGGTGAAGACGTTGAAGCTTTGAATTGCCAAACAAAAGATAACAAAAGATGAGGTCAACGTAGTATTACGAAAGGACATTTTTTCAACGTTATTTCACAATTCAAAGCATTATTTTAGTCATGTTTGTCGTGTTGTTGGAATTTAATGACTCGTATTTTGCCATCTCGTCCAGCAAAGGCCAACTCTTTTGCGAGCTGACAGAGTTCGGATTTTCACGTTTATGTAATTTGGGTGTTTTTTTTCGTTCAAGGAGTATCACGATTGCAAATTGAAGCCCGTGTCTACCCTACCCAGTGTTACCTAAGGAACAGGAAGTAGGCTGCTAGGGAGGTGTTGCTGACCATTTATGTCTCTGTGATAAGCTGGATCCTACACGCATTTTGATCGATTCTTGCCTATGATCTATTGGAAGACAGATGCATAGATGACGTCACCCGGGATTGACAATATAAAACAAACAGATTCCACGCGTGTTGCATTGGCTCTGTACAGCTACAGATCATAGGATTTGTCAAAATGTGATTAGAATAACAGGCAGCGCCTCGAGTGCCACTTTTTTGTTCTTACCTCATCTGTGATCTATTACTGAACGGACCTACAACAACATGGAATCTCTTTGTTAAATAGGGAGGTGCAGAATTCTGCTCTACCAATTTCGTCCTTGGAACAATTTTCCTTTCACTGGTGGGCCACTCATTTGGGTTATTGAGTTGATGAGTTTTTTAAATACTTCTGATTAATTGGCCAAGTGTTAACTGAAATGGTTGAGTGTCAATATGACAAACAGTTCAGCTTACTGCACTTTGGTTCGGTGACTTGACGCAAACGGTTCAGAGTAGTGTGAAATGGCCAAAGTTATCGGCAAATGGTTAATCGTAAGTCGCTATGGTATAGTGTTGCATCAACGAACTCACCGTAAAGTGAAATGGTTTAACGTGACCCCAAATGGTTTAACGTCACGACAAATGGTTTAGTAAAACCCGAAATGGTTTAGTGTTACAGCAGATGGTTTACGCGGTAACCGCCAAAAAATGGACAAGTCTAGCTTGAAATGAACAGTCTATGTAGGGTCTTACGTCACAACCCTTACGTCATTCAGATCGAATTTGGCGCGAAATGCGCCAGAACGATCGCGTTAACGAGGTATTCGCCACTTCGTCCACTCCATGTTCAACACAGGAAGAAATTATTTCTGCAGCCTCGTCTAATAGACTCAGCGGACCTCATTCCGGTAATAATATTTTTTCGGTTGCCTTTTTTCGTTTGCAAGCGAATAAATTTACACCCTCATCATCAGCTGCAATATCAGTAAGTAAATGATATTTCGGATGAAACCGTTTTTATCGAGCAGCTGAACTCTCAGCAGCTTAATAATCAGTTAGTGATAAGCTTATATTTCACAATAATTTATTTTCAGATCGTTTCAAACCATATATTTTTTTAATCTCTAATTTTTATAGTTTGTTAAAACTTAGTAAAGCCGCAAATATTAGAAATTTTATCTTGAGGTCATAAAATTTGTAATAGTTGCAGCTTAACCATGTTGGCAGTTCAAATTGCTATTAGCCGGTTTCAAATTTTTCTTTTGTTCTTTCCTGTTTCTTACAGCGAAAACTGCTTTTCTTTAAATGGAGAATTCTTACCATAGTTAGGCCCAACCATGGTAAGAAATCTCCATTTTACTACCTCAAGATAAAATAAAAATCTGAAACAAAAGGAATGGCAAAAATTCAAATAAAATGCATCATTTTTCGCGTGACGCGACAGCATACTTACTGTTTAGACAGTCAGAACCATTGCTTGGAAACGTGATAAAGCGATTCATTGTTTTAAGACGACGAAAATACAATTAAGGGGCTTTAAAAAAAAACTATATAAACCATTAGTTAAAAACTACATAGTTATAAATATTTTATAGCGAAAACTGCTGTACTTTAAATGGAGAATTCTTACCATGGTTACGCGTGACCATGGTAAGAATTCTCCATTTTATTACCTCAAGTTAAAATAAAAATCTGACACAAAAGGAATGACAAAATACGGATAAAATGCATCATTCATTGGTAGGAATCGTGATCAAGTGATACATTTTTTTTTACGGCGTAAACTAGCTGCTGTAACACTAAACCATCTCGAGTTTTATTACACTATTTGTCGTCACCTTAAACCATTTGACTTTACGGTGAGTACATTGATGCGTTACTATACCATTGCGGCTTACTATTAACCATTTGCCGATAACTTAAGCCATTTCACACTACTCTGAACCGTTTCTGCCAAGTCACAAAGTACGGTAAGCTGAACCGTTTGTCATTCGACACAGAACCATTTCAGTTAACACTTGACTACTCGCGTTTTTATTGAATCAGTTCAACAAGGGTGGCTGCACAGCTTCTGAATTGTATAAACCATTTTTTGTTTGAATATTCAATTTCACCAAAGGCGACTTGTCCATTTGTATTTTAAATAAATCTCTTGAGGTAAGATAAACCGTTCTCCAACAGACAATTAGAACATTTCTGTTTATTACAGACCATTTATTATGCCTGTATTTTTGGCGGTGACGGCCACCCCTACTAGAAGTAAGGATGTTTCAACCTTTTTGTTTTAACCATATCATAACTGATTTATCGTTCAC